ATGTGGCTGTCCCCGCAATGCTAGCACTCTCACTTTTATCGGAGCTCTCACTGTCACTTTCACTTTCTCTTCTGGTCACAATATTTTGGGGGCCCCTGTCACTGCCACTGACACTGCCCTCGCTATCAGAAGACGAAGCAGTTGCAAGTCAGATAACTCATCGGAGATCAAATCACAGATTTCTTCTTCTCCGAGAGCTCACACGACCTTCAACTGCTTTCGTCTCTGAGCCATGTTGACACTGAGAATATCTTGCCTCACACATAGAAGCTTCGACTTGAACAAAGGGACTTTTCTTTAGAGTGAGAGGGGAATAGAGAGTGGTCATGTTGCTGACTCGGAAAACAAACATTCCGAAGGTCAGCTACGCAGTACTTTTACAGACACGTGGCCACCAAAGCGAGGAATAGTGTGTTGCAACATAACGTGTCCTAAAAGCCTAAATCTAGGCGACCGGTCTGCCACGTTTAAAACCCAATCGCCTAGGCCTAGGCATCCGGTCTGCGAAGTGTTAAGAATGCAGTTTTCTGAGATGGAAATTCATATAATCTGGTAGATAATTAAAAATATTTTGGGGGAACATGCAACTAACCTCTCATTTCAGGGAAGAAATAAGTCATGTGGGGAAAACTAGACATAATACAGGCAAGGCAAGGTTATGACAAAGCCATAATAAACAGTTAAATGGGCACCAGTAACCATGTAAACCACCTACCAAACTACACTGATTAATATTCTAGAAGACAAGTCTTAATTAAGGCACAGAACTTGTTTCTTAGACCTTTTCCACATAGCATCAGGAAAGCTGTTCAGATCAGATATATAAGAAATGTTCAAACCCTCACAACAAAATAAAACAGTATAAGATTATTAAGAAATGCGAGATTTCTTATACATGATTCAAAGCTTTCACAGTGACAGCTTACAATAAATAAAGTCTTATAGGCCAATCAGTCATGTCAATGGGTTAGCAACCAACATTTCAGAGACAGTCGTCTCTGTCTCAGTCATATGGCACTCATCACATCAACCCCTGACGATGCAGATATTGAGTCTGTGAAACAGTGGACACTACTCCATACTGACATGGCTGATCACCCAAAATACATTACTCCATTTCTTAGGTAACCTGTTCATTTTATTCAATACTCTTACATAAATGTCACACAAAGATTTTACAGATTGGTTGTGTGATCTCGTCCTTCCTCCACTGCCAACACCGGAAGTTAATATGGCTGAATAGGAGTTTTATTCTTACTGTGGGCAGGTTGGCCTTTCTGTTCCAGCAGACGAGCCTGCAAAGCCTCCTTGGCTGACACAAAGAATATCCTTTCATTTGCCTCCTTCTGTGTACACACCTTCAATTCTTTAACCAGGAAGCTAACAGCTCGTTCCATATGTTGGGCCCGCACCTGCAAGTACATAATCCAATGCAGTGTTACCACACATGCGCTAACAATGCAGAATACTGTTGCTTCCATGTGTCTCGGAAATGTGTTGATACATTTCTACATCAGGACGCATCTTCAAGATTGTAACAATATGACCTGATATAAAATAAAAGAAAGAACTTAATCACAAGCTGGGGCCACACCATAGCTCAAGTGGTTAGTCGCTGGACTCCCACCGCGGCGGCCCAGGTTCGGTCCCGGGTCTGGTCAAGTGGGATTTGCGGTGGACAAACTTGCGCTGGGGCAGGTTTTCTCCGAGTACTTCGGTTTCCCCTGCCAATCTTCATTCCACCAATTGCTCCACAATCACCCTCACCTATCATCTGGGGCCGGTACAATAGGCCAGAAGTGGCCGCAGTACAAGGGACTTAGTGCCACCCCACTAGCAATAAAAAACAATAATCACACGCCATCAAACAGTTTAATTCACCACTCATCATGTTTACGAACTGGACATATCTTCCTAATGTACCAACTACAGCACTATACCATTCAACAACGCTCTTACAACCGAGATGATAGAAGTCACGGTTTCTTACAGGAATGACACCAATACACCAAGAAAATTGCATGGCGAATCAAGACACAATTTAAAATGTTTAAACAATCTTAGAATACATATTTTACAAGCTGATATATTCATTCTCTCCCAAAGGATATGTCAGCTATCCTTGTCAATATCATGACATATAGCAGTTAAGACTTTTTAACACCTGTGGTTACTGCACACATTAGTAAGAAGGGCAGGAAGTGAATTTCATTATCTCAGAGTGTCTTCTGTTAGGTATGCAGTAGAAAACAGAAACAGACTGAAACTGATAAAACAGTGACCACACATCATGCCAACCTTACTTAGTATTTGTTTACTGTTAGTTAAATACAAGAAGAAAAGACTAGACTCTGTGAAAGATGACTTATGTTCATTTGGAGACATAACTTGAAAGATCTCTGCTATCTGGACCATGTTAAAGATCTTGGAATATGCAATTAAAAATGTGCTTGCAGAAGTGTCAGTGCACAGAGCAGAAGAATAATATATGAATACATGATATAGAAGTACTGGTACTTTAGTCCCCCTGTCATCACTCACCCTCTTTCTTTAATGTTATACTTCACATAATTCTAATGCATTTCACAACTACTGCACAGAAACTCTACCTTTCAACAAAATTTATGAACCTTGTGTTTCAACTCCCTCCTGTAAAGTCCTATATTTCTTGAGGGAACCAATACACTGATATTGCACCAACACGGGACCCTGGGAGAATGCAATGTGCTAATTAGGCTGCATGAGGCACCTCTCACAAGATTTTCAGTGTTTAACAGGTAACCTTTGAACTCAATATCAAATGCACTCTCTTCTCAGCTGTGTGAGGCTTCTGGAAGCTAACAGCCAGCCTCTGCAGTGCATGCCCAGAAATAAGGGGCACACTTCTTCTGCACTACAGCATAACACCCCCAACCCCCACCCCACATCATCATATACATGAAAGAAAAATGTGAATAATTATTTGCTAAACATTGAAAAGTTGGACATATGCAGTCAGCCAAACATGCTCTAGACACACCAACATGCATCCTAGACTGTCATCATAATAATGACAGTGACGATGACTGACACCACACATAATAAGAAGCCTATGTAGTGGGGTGCAGCACTCATGCAAGGGGGAAAATATCAGGGAAAACCCTTGTGGAGGTGATAGTAGTGATAAATAGAACTCTGCTGTGAGAACCTACGAAGTCTTCTCTATCATCACTCACAGATGTTCAATATACACTGTACTTTTACTTACCATGTATAATGTTTATGCTTTTCTTATGTTTTCATTTTTTATTGTGCTTATGTTGTCCCATAGAGTGCAGTGAGGATGTTTTTCTTTGTTTGCGCATGTGTGCTTCATTATGCACATTCATGCATTAAAATCTAGTTGTCTGTGTGTTAACAGAATATTTCATGCTGCTGCATTCAGGTATCCATGTTTATTTAACCTACAAGGTACTAAGTCTATCCAATGCAGATTAACTCTTAAGCACCCTAACCCCTGCTGTAAGAAATGGTTTGCTGTACAATTTACTACTACACACATGCTGAGGAAGAGGCTAAGATCATTTAAGGTGGATGAGAAACTAAAAATAACATGTGTGACAACAATACTGTTTTCCCATTNAGTAAAGCTGTCCCTGTAACGGGCCAAGGAGGCCCATAGGGTTGTGAGATGTTGAGGCTCCCACATTTTTTCTAGACAATCAGCTCACAGATAACGGTGAGGCTGTCGGCCTTATGTGCCGACCACCTTTCAACCCCCAGGAAGATTCTTGGTACTTATTTTCTGTTAGAGGCTGAGTCGACCCCAGAGCCATAGTGCAACTGGAAGGATTAGGTAAGTTGAAAAAAAAATTCACCTCAATGGGAGTCGAACCTGCTACCTTCCAGCTTGTAGTATAGTGCCTCAATCAACTACACTACTGCATGCAATGATACTTTTATAATAACTGAAGTTAACTGTCCAAGAAATGATTTCTCTCTTATTTTTTTCTCTCTAATCCCATTCCTGAAAATCAGGCTGTGTATCATACAAATGGGCATGTGGCTCACAAGTAAATAAGGTATGTCAACATACAATGGTAAAGAGTTATAAATCCTCACAACACTTGAACAAGCAAAGATTAGCCATAACCAGAAGCCCTTTTCCATATTTCTGATATGATTCCAACAATATTTCTTGGATACATATATTTTTATTTAAAGGTGATGCTAAAATTTCAAATGAGACAGAAGCGAAAAACATACATTAAGATACTATAATGTGACAATACGAGTAGCCTTACCTCACTCTGTTCATTTCGATGCTTTAAATTGAGACAAGAGAAACAAAACATTAGGTTTCCCTATGGAGTTACTACAATACTATCCTGCATATAGTCACAGGATATAAGATACTACTGTTAAGAACACTACAACAATCACACCACTTCAGTATTAAGGACAGGAAAACAATTCAAAGACAACAAATATCAGCATTCATGAAAAACTTGCACAATTCCCAAGTTTCAACATGACATACCAAAACTACAACAGTGCTTTTACTGTTCATAACTAACTCCATCAGTTTACTGCATCATCTAACACTCCATCTACTGCCAAGGTTAGGAACGGTGGAGCCATATCTCCACTCCCCCATGTGTCTTCATGGCATGGTGTTTAATTAAGCACAAGGACAATTTTACCTTTACCTTTTATACTGAAGATGCCTTACTTTAGAATAATTAAATAATTATAGACCACGATGAACTGTTTCCCTCATAAAAAACAAACATTAAATCCACACAAATTATTCAGTTAGTTGATTCTTACCCAAACTGGCAAGAAGCCAAAACTACAGGTCTACACTGAACATAATCAATATCAAGCCTTCACTGTATACTATTATTACACAAAGTAAATGAAAATTAAGTCTTAGACATATAACTTTCACTTACCTCATCAAGAAACTCGGGCTCTGAAGCCGAAGCATCCCAACGGTTGTTCAGAATAAAGATATTTGGTTTCGATAATCGTGTAGAGACTTTGTGGAAGAAGTTCTTCTCCTGTAAGGGATATAAACTCTGGCATTATCCACAAGGCCTTTCCCTCAACCTTGAAATGCTTTCAGCTATCAACCATCCCGACCTCTGCCAGTATTAGTAATGGATTACTCAATTTGATGAAATGTAAATTCTGAAGTAAGAAATAACAGTGGTGAGGATTTTGCATTATAAAATTTGCAAACTCTGACTTTTGGCCAAACTACTGTACAAGGCTATAGAATGATTTGATTACACTGTCCAGTGTGACTCAAATGTATATATATATATGATGTTTTCACATGTTTCAGTCAGTTAACACTTTATGGACCATGCACCCTTTAAAAGGTTTTTCGCTTTTAAACATGGCGGACCATTCGCATGATAACAGGTTTTTAGAACACGCTAAGTTGCAACACATTATACATCGCTCTGGCACCACCTACATTGCATGCAACCGCCTGCAGATGCATGATAAGACTCTGGAATGTTTAGTTTAAGTCAGTAACTTGACCTCGCTGTTTACTTAACCGAATATAAAGGAAAATGCTTTGCCTTCTTCAAGCTGTGTGTATCAGCCAGTAGCTAGTGGGGATCAAGGACAAATTCTCCTCCGATGACCTAGCTGACCTGCCTTGTGAGACGCGTAGTAATGGATTGTCATTCAGACAGCGACAGTGACGGGAGACAACAAAGAACTGTGGCCAAGACAGTAAAAGTGACAGTAGCTCCGACGATAATGCGAGTAATAACATTGCGCGTAGTAACACTGCAGGGACAGCAAAAAGTCTAAAAAAAAATCTAAACCCTGATTCAAAATTGAAATACAAAGCATTTCTGATGAATGTGGCAAAGGCCTGGGCTACAGTCCAGATGGTGGCGGCAGAACCAGGGTCACACAAAGATTTAGTACAACCGAGCCCGTCAACTCCCACCCCATGAAGGCCTCATGTGGACCCTCAGGGCAACTCTTGAGTGATATGTGGAAAAATATCGTGAAAATTGTCAAGAGTGAACATTCCAAGGGGAAGAATACTTCTAGGCAATGCTATGTTTGCACAGTTCACAAAAAAAAGGAGTATGTCTACATTTGCAAGTTCTGTGTAATGCCACTTCACAAAGGGGAAAGTTTCCAGAAATATTACACCCTCAAGCACTTCTAGGAGCATTGGTAAGTGTTCTCCAAAAATTTTAGTTCAAATTTCTCCCCTCCCTTGTGGCGCTACAGCCCCAATTTGGGCCTAGGCCTACCTCCATGAAACTCTCCATTTCACTTCAGTTTACTAGATCTTACACATTCGGTAGGACTCCTTGGGCGAGTGATCAGCTCGTTGCAAGGCCTCTACCTGTAGACAAACACAGAAAAACACACACAAACATCCATGCGCTGAGTGGGATTCAAACCCACGATCCCAGCTTCCAAGCGAGCGAAGACAGTGCATGCCTTAGACCGCTCGGCTACCGTGACTGGCTCAAAATATTAATTTGGAGATTTTATATTAATTTTTAAAGTGAACAGTGCACAAGTTAGGGTAGTATGTTTAAAAATGCCGGTCCCCAGGGTGATTTAAATATTTAAATCACCGGTCCACAAAGTGTTAATGACCATCTTCAGAAGACAAATAACAACATGCTAAGGAAATTACTATTACTTAAATCATAGTACATCAAGTTAAACGTTGTCCAAAGTTTTATATATAAATATTTTAATTAAGCTAATATGTGGTGAGTTAAAATATTAATATTTAATATTAATAATAATAAATAATAATAATAATAATAAATAAAAAACATTAATATCTAAAAACTTAAATCGCTAAGGTTTGTGTCTTCGTGCCCCTTCTATCAACATGAGATTGGATAGACTGCCACTCTTGGAGGTCTGGGAAGTTTTTTTTCTTTCTTCTATATATAATTGGTTAAGAGTCTGTTTTCGTAGTTGAGCTACTTTTACTTTCGTTGTTTGTTGATAGGAGGGGCACGAAGACATAAACCTTAGCGCTTTAAGATTTTAAATGTTAAGAATTTTATTAATTTTAATTTGACAGATATGTAGCAGTTGGCTGAGTTCACCCTAAAGACCATAGCCACTCGATTTTTCCCTAATTGGAGGATGCATATTAAGCAGCCCCCCACCTTGCCCTGTCCAGCAAATCAAAATCTAAAATGGAACATTGTTTGCCAGAAATGTGTAAAATCAGGGCAGATGCCTATCTTCAGAAACGGTGGCTGGATCACTATGAAAAATTCACTCACCGTAGACAGGTGCCATCCAGCATATCTCTGCCCACATTTTAAATTACCAACACTTATAACCATGAGAACTTTGTGAACAGTGCTGAAATTGAGTGATACTGCTAATTTGATTACTGCAGTAAATTTGTACATATATTAGTTGGTGAAGTTAGTGAAGTTAGTAATAAAACTTCAGTGAACTATTGATCAGCATTGTTTGTGTGTAAATGGTTCTGCATTTGAGTAAACTTCTGGTCAACCCAAGTCATGACCAGTCAACACTGCCCAAGAGGAGTCAAGTCTCACCCTGAGCTATGCCAATACTAACCCAACTGCAAAGAGGACCCAATTTCCCTCCTATTCTGCAGTTTCTCCACCCCACCCCCCCAGAATAACTGCTGACACCTGACTCATCCATCACATTGATTCCTTGGCCCTATCTTAGCAGAGAGAGACAAAAGATTAGTTCAAAAAAGTCTATCTTTAATCTCATCAATCCACCTATCCCCATTGCTTACTTACAAATAATTTGGCATCTTTTAAAATATAAAGCAAGAAATGTTCAAGTGACATAATAAGCCATATTCACTCCCTTTTGTCTAAATACAGTAGGCACAAAACATGCACTTAATTTTTCTCTATAATCTCTGTTTGATTTGTATTTCTCTTTAATAAACATTTAGCAAGTTACGGTCTGGAAGTGTCCAGTAATGTATGCAGGTTCAAGCAAAGAATCCACCACTAGGGTCCAGACGTAAAAAAAATCTGAACCTGCTAAGAAACTTCAACAAACTGCCTCAGCAGCATATAAAAAAATTGTTTACCAGCATATGGCAACCATAACAGACACAGTTTTCAACTATTCATTCCAAACTCACACAAAACATAAGAAAGAAAAAGGAGAGGAAAATAACATTTAATTTTCAACAGAGTAACAGCTTTAGCAGCAGACTCAGTTATGTATTAATTAAGAGAGTTCTATCTTCTGCGATATAATGCTATGTAGTCCACTGAATGCCAACTCATGTTTCAGAGAAATATATCACCTCCATCTTCAGGGTTCCAAAAATAAGCCAAGCAAGAAACCAGTGCTATGAGAACCTCAAATCCTATATATTAATTAAATGTGCCCTATATGTTGCCCCTATTCTTGCCTACCCACAGCCAGGAGAGAAATTCATTGTGGACACAGATGCAAGTAATGTCGGAATTGGAGTTCTCTCTGAAGTACAGGACGGACAAGAGCGTATCATAGCTTACTTCAGCAAGACGCTGAACAAAGCAGAGAGAAATTACTGCGTAACCCGATGAGAACTACTTGCCATAGTGAGGACACTGGAACATTTCCACAAGTACCTCTACGGACAACATTTCCATCTGCGAACGGACCACTCTGCGCTTACCTGGCTTATGAGTTTCAAGAACTTAGAAGGACAAACTGCGTGCTGGATACGTCTACAGGAATACAACTTTACTTCGGAACATCGTCAGGGCCGGAAACATAACAATGCCGACGCCCTTTCTAGACGACCCTGCCAAGAGGAATGTGCGCATTGTCACAAAGTTGAGACGCGGGCAGAGGTAAAGCAAATACGCGTTATTGGAACCCTACCGGCAGCCGGCTGGGACCCTGTTACCCTAAGAGAGGAACAGCTAAAAGACCCAGACATAGGGCCTATTCTACGGGAAGTAGAAAAC